AAGCAAACTTCACTATGATTTTTACAATTCTGATTCTGTATCCCCTGGGGGTATTCCAGTCACTTCTTTAGGATGGGGTTCATTATGTTGTACATATATCCCAATGTGTCTGTGTGAATCTTTGTCTATTTTGGGGGAGGGCGGAGGGTGGTTCTTTTTTTAGATATTGTTCCTAAAAAGGAATAAATGCATACACCTGTTTGTCAAAACACCTTTGCTTTTTGTGCAACTGCTTTATATTAATGATACTAAAAACAAACAAACAAAACCAACTTAGGTGTGGGGGGTGGGGAAAAAGAAACTAGTGTATGTAACAGAATTGCAGACTGTGCTGCTCTTGTATTTTAATTAGCTCTCCTTGCTTTAAGAATATTGGGTGACTTTTCCTGACATACAGGAGGAGGGTGAAGCTCCCTAAGTTTGTTTTTTTCCCCCCTTCTTCTTTTTGGCTTTTAAATTGTAACAGTTAACAGATTCCATCCCCTTCTTATATCTCAGAGCATTTTGTACAGGTTTTTTGTGTGCGTGCGTGCTAAGATGTTTTGGGTTTTATTTTTGTAATACATTCCTATCCCACTGGAGTCTTGGAGTGGCATTGTGGGTTAATACGCTGGACTGCAAAGTCAGTTTGAACCGCAAGGTTGGCGGTTTAAGCTCACCAGTTGCTCCTCAGAAACCCTATGCACAGTCGCTGTGGGTTGGAACGACTCAATGGCACTTAACTACAACAATCCCACCTAAGGAGTCTTGGTGTGGCGCTATAAGATAAGCACTTGACTTCAAGGTCGGTTTGAACTGCAAGGTTGGCGGTGTAAACTTAGCTGCTGCTCCCCAGAAACCCTAAAGAGGGTCACTATGAGTCAGAATCTACTCGACGGCACTTAACAATGATAACAACCCACTTAAGTTTATCCTGCCACTGCCATCCTGGCTATCTGACCCAAATTCAGACATTTGACGGGGTGGTGGTGAAATGTTCTTTAAAAGCTATTTTCTATGCTGTAGTAAATATTTTGAATGACGAAGTCACAGGGTCGCACTTCCCAAGATGATCAGTGAAGTAGTGATTAATAATTGGGTGTGTCAAAGCTATTGAAGTTGTATACAAAGAAAAATGTAAGAATAGAAGGTGCCAAGCTGTAAAAGACAATTTACTTTAAAAAAAAAAAAAAAAAAGACTCAGAAAGCATACGTGAGAGGTGTTCCGGCACATCCAGCAAATGTGCTATCAGGAATGTGGATGCAGCCCACTTATCCCGAGTATAGTGGACGGGTAACGCGAGTTAGGTAGACTGCGCCATTTGGCCAGCAGGGAGATGGACTATCAAGGCTTAGGAAGAGTGACCGCCAGTCCTGACACCTTGGGACAAATCTAACATTAATGCCCTGCATTATGCCCAAAAGAATCTCTTGGATTCTTACCCTTAAAATAGGATGCAAATTACTAGCTTTTTTTTTTTTCTCCATTTCATAAAAAAGATCATTAGATATCTTTCCTCTGCTCTTCACATTCCAGCTGTGCACCCTTTCCAGAGAGGCACGAGAACGAATGAGCTGGTAAGGATTTTGACTCTTTGGGGCACCTTTTGAGTCAAGGCACAAACTATCCTGAGATACTTTCAAAAGCTGATTTTTTTTTTTCCTCCTGAGAGTCAGATTCCAAATTCTAAAGGCATCCCATAGGCCAAACGTTCAAACAACCCTGCTCCCCATAACCCTTGATGAAAATGGTACATTCTGGATTGTGAGCATGCTGCTCTGTGTATATGTGCTGCCAATAACAAGAACTTTGTTTTGTTTTTGTTTTGATGAGACATCAAAGAAACCCATTCCTTGACATCAACTGTAATTCCATGTCTGTGGATACAGACCAAAAAAAAATGTTGTGTAGTCAGTAACTAATTACTGACATGATAGCATTCTCAAATGCAATAAAAATGCTGGTTGCTCACACTGGTAGTATCCGTCGCCAAAGCCTAAGCTTCTTCCCCTCTCGGACCTGCTGATATTGTATGTTAGGCATATGTATTAGGTTTATCACCAGCTGCTTCCAACACAGAATTAAAATCAATCTTAACTAAAAGCT